AGGAATGGGCCCATGCTCCAGAAGAGGAGTCCTGCCACGTCTGTCAGCCTCAGTCCCTCCAAGCTGCCTCTCCCCGCGGTGCCCCCCACATTGATCTTAAACATCTAGTGCAACCAGTAGCCCTTCATGGAACCCCTGCTGACGGCCAGGCTGATGCCAGGAGCTGGATACGGCCACCTCACACAGAAAAGGCACTGGCGTTGCGCACACGCGCACGCACACACACACACACACACACACACACGGATAGCTACAGTGAGCAGGAGGAAATCCACACCGAATACTGTCCTGGGCCCCAGCTCTGCTCCCCGCCCTCCTTCAGTGCTCATCCCCCGTCAACCTCAGGGCCTTGGCACCTGCCGCTCCCTCTGCCTGGGCTGCCCTCCCCCTGCCTTATCTGCAGACTTCTACCTAGCCCTCAGCACAGCCCCCGTCACCTCTGAGACGCCTTTCCTGAGCCCTCTGTGCCCCCCAGTAGAGCAGTCCTCCTCCGTGTTCCCGCCCGGTGTGCCCCTCTCACTCTGGCTTCTACGCTGTCACCATGATGTGTCCACGAGCCCCACCAGGTCTGGGCATGCCCCACTCATTCTTGATATAACATTGCCCCCCAGGGTCTCCCATAAACTTTGCCGAATGGCAGCGCGGACGCCACGTAAAAACTTGTGGGTGTAATCAACCGCCCTCCGACCTCTCCTCCCTACCCGCTTCCTCCCGCCTTGTCAGGGAGTGGGAGGTTTGGTTCCCTCCTGCTCGGAGCCACAGGGAGAGCTCTCCCTCCAGAAGCAGCAGTCGGGGGGAGCTGGCCATGCAGAGCAAAGGTCCCACAAGTCCAGCCAGTGCTGGCAGCTGGCATCAGACCCTGCCCCTGGGCCAGTGTGTCGTCTTTGACTCGTCCAGCTGGCCGCCAGGGACTCCTGACCGGGACTCCCACCCAGCCCCTTGCGGCCAGCCCCGCGTGGCCATGCCTCTCCTTCCGGGCCGGTCGGCTCACCTCCCTCCTGCTCCACTCTGCAGCAAGTTTCCTCATTGCTGCAAAATCAAAGCAAAGGGGAGGAGAAGCGGGGGACCTAGAGGACTCGCGAAGGCGGCAAAGAGCTGAGGCGGAGGCGAGCGAGCAGGTCGGAGTGGGAGAAGGTGTCACAGGAGAGAGGGAAGGTGCCGGCCCGTAATTGAAAGTCAGAATGACTGCAGGGGCTTAACAAGACATGTCAAGAGGGCATTCATCACCCAAACAGATGCCGCTGTGAAATGCAGCCTGGCACGCTCATTCCCGTGCAAGGGGACCAGCTTGTCAGGGCGCCTGACGGCCAGGAGAGATGGGCCGGCGCGGAAGGCCACGACATTCGGGCCGGGGAGTTTTGCAGAGAATTAATGGGGTATTCATCCTAGGGCCGGAGGCTGCCCTGGTCCTTTGCAAACCCTCTCTCCGGAGCCTGGGTCTCATCTCCCCGTCTCCCAGGCCCATGCCCTTCCCTCCCCCTAAAGGGTGCTCAGCCGCCAGGTTCTCGGGAGCCCCACCGCCACCTTCTCCTGGCTTCCACGCACAGGGTCGCCATGTTCGCAACAGCAAGGCCTCCTGCGCCCTGAGGCCTCTGGTCCCCACCCCATTGGGTTTTCATTGCCCACCACCCTGAGGGCCTAACCACCAACAGCCGTTTGTCCTCCTAAGGAGTCGGCCTGAGCCCTCAGAGCCGCCCGCTGTCCCAGCTCCGTGGTTGGCCCAGGGGAGTGTGTCTGCCTGGGGCAGCCAGGAGAGCCGGCCATGGCTCTGGGCGAAGCCACCCTCCGTCCTCCCCAGCATCGGCTCAGGAGCGGATGGCACAAGCGATGACCCTGGACACAAAGGCTTCCCTTCCCAGAGCTCCCGAGCCACACTGTGGTTCCTCGGTCACAGCGGCAGGGTTCCCTCCACTGTCACCAACGTCCCCAGGCGGCCTTCTGCCGTATTATTTATGTCTCACTGGGAATGAGCAGGCGACCGCAGGCTCTGAGGTAGAGGATGCGTGTACCCAGGTGAGCCTAGGCGACGGTCCCTGACCTCACGGAGCATCAGGTCAAGTGACCCGCCAGGGACCTAACCGCACACTGGTCAGAACGTGCAGGCAGTGGGAGACCGTCAGGGAGCGTGCTGGGGGGTGGGAGCGCCCCTCTAGCTACGTGGTCAGGGAAGGCTTCCCTGCAGAGGTGAGGCTGCAGCTGAGAGCAGAAAAATAAGGAGGCAGGTGACCAGGAGCCCCGAGAGCACAGCCCAGGGGGAGAGTCGGCTGGAGGGAAGGCCCTGTGGCTGGAAAGAGCTGGGTTCATTGAGGACGAAAGGGCCACGGGGTGACCAGAGGTGCCAATAAAGACAGGGAAGGTGGGCAGGGCCGGCCGGGCAGAGCCTTGTGTTCTGGGGCGGGGATTTCCACTCACCCCAACTGCTGGAGAGCCACAGGGGGGTTTAGGGTCTCCCAGTGGCAGTATTGGGGGTGGTCAGGGAGGGGGCTGTGGTCCCCCAGAATTTCCACCAGTCTCCTCTCCCCCCACCATGCTGCCCAGAACCAAGTAGAAGCAGCGGGCTCGCTGGGCAACCCAGTGTGCAGCCCGCAGCCCGGTGTCTGTCCCCGCCCCGTCCTGGAGGCAGCCACTTGGGCAGGGTCTCCCTCCCTAGCTGCTCATCGTGGCACCCGAGCAAGGAGTCTGGAGTGTGCAACGGACGCCACTCTGAGTCTCCCTCCTTTCCCGCCCAGGGGTGGACGACCCGCACCAGCACGGGAGAGGCGTCGCCCTGGCCGATTTCAATAGGGACGGCAAGGTGGACATCGTATATGGCAACTGGAACGGCCCTGCCCGCCTCTACCTGCAGATGAGCGCCCACGGGAAGGTCCGCTTCCGGGTAAGTGGGCTCTGGCGCCCGCTCTCCCCCGTCCAGCACCGCGGAGGGGCCAGGAGGGTCGAAGGAGCCGCAGCCCTGCCCTGTGCCGAGAGCAGGCTTGGGCTCCCAGAATCTGGGTGGACGTGGAGGCCCCAGTGAGGGTGACATGGCAGCACTGGACAGGCTCCAGCCTGGGCAACTGTAGACCCAGCATCCAGAGCAGTAAGCACCAGGCAGAGGGAAGGCCTCCCCCGCCAGGTGGGAGCCTGTGAGGGGGCTGCATTCTCCAGACTAGCCCTCTCTCCTGGTGGCTCCGGGAAGTCCTGAGCTCAGCCCCATCCTGAGCTTCTCAGAGGTTCAGACTAAGGGCAGGTGGCGGAGAGAGAGGAGGGCGTTCCCGGCAGCTGCCCCTAAGAACAGACAGCGGGTGGTGGGCACGGTGACCTCAGACCCTTGCTGTGCCCCTCTTCCCGGGGGCTGTTTGGGGACAGTAATGGAGGAGCCACCACCTCAGAGAGGGCGGTGAAGGGTGTGGGTCATGGAGCCAATCCCAGGGAGCCAGGACTGTCCTGGATGTATCTGGGTTTTGTTGGGTTTTTTTAAGAGGTTTTTGCCTTAGGGCACGTGAGTTCACCAGAAAGAGAGACAGAGACAGTGAGAGGGAAAGTGAGAAATCACCCCCCAGGAGGGATGGCCACGACACAGTCTCTTCTCCATTCTCCTGGGATCTTGGGCATGCATGCACATCCAGTATAAGTTTCAAGCCACCGGGCCCGGGACTCAAACTGCTGTTGGCCATGTGAGAGTCTAGCAATGTAACCACTACACCATCTGCTGACCCCTATACCTAGGTCTTGACAGAAAAAAAACGAAGGGAATGAGAAGGTTCTAATGTTTCCCTCGATGGTCCCAGGGAAGTCTCCGAGGACCTGCGTCTGTGCGACCACAGAGAGGCCACCACCATGAGCTCCCTCCCCCATGGGCAGCCACCCTGGGGGGCTCGGGCCCAGCTGCTCCCTTTCGGCTGAGTCTTGAGGCGTAGGCTCTCTGGGTCCGGAGGAGGCATGGCCTGAACTCCGGAAGGGAGGTCTGAGGCCTGGTCTCCATCCTTACACAATAGGTCCTCAGCATGCCAACTGACCCCTCCCCCGGGGCACCTTTGGTTGTCACACTGGGCCAGGAACCACTGGGGTCCCCTTGCAGAGACCAGGCATGCTGTGAGCGCCCTGCGTGCACAGACCGGCCACAACGAAGTACTCTCCTGCCCTGCGCTGCCCTGCCCTGCCCTGCCTGCCCGAAGCCAGCATGCTGAGGTTCAAGAGCCCTGTTACTGCTCCCAACCACCCCTCTCAGAGCCCACAGGAGCAATACTACTACTACTAATAATAATAATAATAAGTGCCCCACTGCTCAGGTGCCTCCTGTGGGCAGGGGAGTGAACTGAGAGCTCTCCACACACTAGCTCCAAAGCCCAGGCATCCAGTGAGGCGACCCAAGGGGGCTGTGGAGGCGTCTGACTTCACAGGGTCGGTGAGCAACAGCGGGGTCCAGATCCCGAGGTCTCTGTTCCCCAACGCTCGAGGCCCTGCCCAGCCCACCCCGGCAGCCAACCACGTTACCGCACCGATGGCAACAGCCCCGCTCCCAAGCCTGCCACAGTGACTGGCTCTTTCCTGTGGCCAAGCGAGGGGGCCTGCAGTGAGGGGCTGCAGGTGCACGCAGGCCGAGGGCCACAGGGGCTGCCCACATGGCCTGGGGTGTGGACGGCCCACCACGGCGGAGGCACTCGCTCAGGTCTGTCTCTATGGCAGAGGCACGTCCCGCACTCGGCACCAGGCCCACACAAGGCCCTGCAGCACATGGGCGTCCCTGCGGGGCTGTTCCCGGTGTGGGGTCTCCCCGTGCATCCCGGACAGGCATGGGTGTTGCTGCAACCCCTCAGCGCTATGACTCAGAAAGAAAAAAGAAATCTAAAGGCTCCCAAGAAACAGCATGAGGCCGTAGGTGCACAGCCAAAGACGGCCTCCTGCCCCCACCGTGAGGCTAGAGGCCATGTCCCCTGAAGTCCTCTCAGGGAGAGCAACCACGAGGTCGCAGTGGGGGGGGTCATGGCATGTTTTTCTGTTTTTCTATGCAAAAATGCATCATGACTTTCACGCCGAACAATACTCCTGTCCCCCTGTTACTGAAGAGGAAGGTGTGACCCCGGGAGCTGAGAACCTGCCTCAGAGCTCACAGCCAGTCGGGGAGCCCGCATTCCAGTGCGCGGCCCTTTCTGTGCCCACGGGCTTTGGCCGCAGGGGAGGAAGTGTGTGCAGAGAGGGTGCAGCACCCCGAGGGGCTGCCCTGGCCAGCCCCCCAGGGCTCAGTCTCTTCACCTGTAACGTGGGCATGCTGTCTGCCCTGCGGGGGGACTAGGGGGAGGGTTGCGTGTGCCCAGTCTAGGGAACAACAGTCGTGGGTGCCTCTGGTGACGGTCACTCTTCTCCTTGTTCTTCGTGGGACCAGCCTAGGGTTCGTGTGCTCCCAACCTGGGCAGTGAAAGAGGAGGTGCCAGTAGGCCGCCTCCTGTCTTTGTGCCCCACACTTGGGCTGGGTGGCCCCTCGCCCGTGCCCACTCTCCAGTCTGCTGACCCCTGGCCCTCTCTCCTCCAGGACATCGCCTCGCCCAAGTTCTCCATGCCCTCCCCGGTCCGCACAGTCATCGCTGCCGACTTCGACAACGACCAGGAGCTGGAGGTCTTCTTCAACAACATCGCCTACCGCAGCTCCTCCGCCAACCGCCTCTTCCGGTAGATGCTGGGCCCTGGATGGCTGGGGAGGTGGGGGGTCGGGGGAAGGGCTCCGCAATCAGAAGGGGCCGTTCCAAGGACTGGGGAGTCAGTGCTGAGGTAGAGGAAGTCCCCCCACACCCCGAGGAAGGGACTGGAGGAAGGAAGGCAGGAGCTGAGCAGAGGCTGCAGTGCATGGGCGGGGCGAGTTCTGTGCCAGGAGCACCTTCCCCTGTTCCAGGAAGTGGGCAGAGCCACATGGCCCAAAGTGAGCCCCAAACCCAAGCTTCACCTGTTTAAATCTATTTGCTTGTCAGAAAAGTCAGGACACATTTTTGCATTAAAAAAAAAAAAAAAAAAAAAAAAACCCAGAAAAAAAAAATGGTC